CCAGCACTTTGGGAGGCCAAGGCAGGTGGATCACTTGAGGTCAGGAGTTCGAGGCCAACATGGCAAAACCCTGTCTCTACTAAAAATACAACAAATTAGCTGAGCAGGGTGGCAGGTGCCTGTAATCCTAGCTACTCAGGAGGCTGAGGCATGAGAATCACTTGAACCCAGAGGGTGGAGGTTGCAGTGAGCCAAGATCATGCCACTGCACTCCCGCCTGGGTGACAGTTCGAGACATCGTCTCAAATAATAATAATAATAATAATAGTAATACTAGGACAACAGATGTAAACCTCACTGGAGCAGCGTAGGGACAGCCTGTGTGGGGGCTGTGATTGGGTGCCCAGGCTGGTGTATTGTTAGGGACACAGATTCTCCAGTGAGCTAGAGACGGTGGGTCCCTTGCCTCGGGCCAGTTGGGAGGGTTGAGGAGCTGGGTGAGAACTGGGTCTGACTGCAGAGCCTGAGCTCAGGCCGGGAGCACAAATGGCCCTGCTCTCTCCCTTCCCTGCTGCTGCCCTGGCACCTCCTCCTCACTGTGCCTCCCCTTCCCTGCTGTGCCTCCCTTTTTCTCTCCCTCTCCCTCTGTCTCATCATCTCCTAATCTGTCTGTCTCTGTTTCTGTAGCCTTCCTCCCCTTCAGTCTCTGTTTCTGTCTCGTTGTCTGTTCCTCTGTCTCTGTTTCTACCTCTATCTCAGTCTCTAGCTCTCTCTCTTGCTCTCTCTGTCTCTCTGTCTCCCTGTCTCCCTCCCTCCCCTTCTCTCCTGTTTTCCACCTGTTTTCTAAAGTTGTTCTCACCCTGATTCTGTCTGTGTTCGTGGCAGAAGGGACCATTTCTGAGCCCCACCCTGGGTGTAGATGCCCCTGGATGCAGCATGAGGTGGGAAGGAAAGCCCCTGGCTGACTGCGCAGCCCCTGCGGCAGGTATGCACCGAGCTGGGTGTGCACCAAGCTGAGTGTGCACAGAGCTGCGGCGCATCGAGCAGGACCAGGACGCGGGTGAGCCACGAGGTGGGGCTCACTGCTCAGACACTGATGCTGGGCTGTCACCAAGGTGCGGAGGCCCTCGGGGCTCCTCCTGGCCGCCTCACTCCTGACCAAGCAGGGAGCATCCTGCTTGCATCGCGTCTGGAATTCTCTGAAAATACAGAGAGAGAGAAGAGCTTCCTTCCCTCTGTGAGCTCAGTCCCCACTTCTGAGAACAGGAGGAGGCATCTCTGCGTCATCCTGACACTTGCTTTCCGCCATCTCCTGGGCCTTCGCGTGGGTGCACCTGTTGCTGTGCAAAGCCTGCTGGGCACCTGCCAGGAGTGTGAGCCCGCAGGCTCCAGCTGGGAACTGTGAATAGTTGAGGGGCCAGGCATGGAGAGACCCTCCCCTCCCCCTGCCTCTGCCTCTGCCTGTGTGCGCTTCCTGGAGGCCTCCTGGTGATCTGTGTCAGCACTGACATGCAGTCCCTGGTAGGCGGTGTGCTTGCCTCGCATCAAAACAACACTGCTGTAGGAATCAACTCCGAAGGCCGTTTCTGGGGTATCCTGGAATTCAGAAGGAGGAGGATGGTGACTTGTTGGCACTGGTAGAAGCCGGGCCAGAGTCCTGTGGAGGACCCCCGTGGGCTGCAGCCTTAGGGATAACGCCGCAGGGGGACGCCTGCCTGGAGCCTCAGCCCCTGCTTGTTGCAGGTGCGTGCACAAGCGGCCGGGCACACCGTCCTGGGTCCGGGGCTCCCAAGCCCGCCACGCTCTCTTCCCTGAGCCCTGCTTCCCATCTGTCCCACTTCTCCTGAGCTCTGTCTCCAAACGCAGCTGGACCCCATCTCCACTGCACTCCCGACCGAGGCGCTGTGGGCTCCTGCCCGGGCTGTTCCAGCAGCCTCCTCCTTCCAGCCCGCCCACTCCCTCCCCGCAGCCACAGGCACCAAGTGAAAGTCCGCTTCTATCCCGCAGCTGAGGGTCCTCTGGTGACTTCCCCATTGGACCTAGAAGAAAATGCCACTTCTTCCCCGGCTTCTGAGGCCTTGCACGGCCCGCGCTGCCCCCTCCTCGTTCCAGGCTTCTCTGTCCACTACCTGAGTTCTGCTCACCCTCGGTCTCTAACCGAGCTGCGCCCGCGGCGGGCGCCTCCTCAATTGTTTCTTGGTTGAAATCACCCTGAAAGGACTTTTCTTGGCCACCCAGTGTTACTGGGGTTCCCACTTGGGTTTTCTCTGTCCCTGCACGTGTGTCTGAATACACTGCACTCTTCGCCATCTATAAACCCCAGTCCCCAGCCTGGAAGCTTCCCGAGGACAGCAATCAGGCATGTTTACTCATCAGCTCTCCCTCGCAGGGACCCTGGTGTGGACTAGATGCTCAGTGAGTACTGGAAGGGATGATTATGCCCCCAGCGTACAAGGGGCAACCCTTCCAGAGGGCATATTTCGCTATTTTCATCTGATAGTGAGCGATGCAGCACGCCACACAGTTGTACTTAACTGCTCTCTTTACTTTTTCTTTTCAAAGTCGCAGATGACAGCAGTCATCCCGCCCAATCATTGGCACCTGTCAGATTTTATCCCCATGCCTAGCAAGTAGTCTCTGACAGTTTCATGCCAATCACTGGTACTGGTGGTGACTGCCACGCGGCAAAACGACAGGATTGCCTTCTCCTGCCTGGGTGCTTAGATCCCATGTAAATCCCTTTGGCTCAGAAATTGTCTTTCTTTTGCCCTCCCTTCCTCTCTCCCTCCCTTTTTCCTTCCTTCATCTCCCTCCTTTCTTCTTCCCTCCTTTTCTTCATCTGTTCTTTGCTCCCATTTTCTTTGATTTCTCTCCCTCCTTCCTTCCTTTCTCCCTTCCTCCCTCCTGACTTCCTTCTTCCCCTCCTCCTCCCTCCCTCCCTCTCAACTTCCCTCCCTCCCTAACTCTCTCCTTCCCTCTCTCCTTCTCTCCCTTCCTCTTTCTCCCTCCCTCCCTATCTACCTCCCTCCCTTCCTCCCTTGCCTCCTCCCTCCATTTCTCCCTCCCTTCTTCCCTCCTTTCCTCTCTCCCTCCCTCCCTAATTCCCTCCCTTCCTCCCTTCTTTACTCCCTTTCTCCCTCCATCCCGCCCTCTGTCCCTTCCTCTCTCCCTTTCTCCCTCTCTCTCTTCCTCCCTTCCTTTCTCCCTCCCTTCTTCTCTCCCTCCCTCCCCTCCTCTCTCCCTTCCTGTGCGCCACTGCCCTCATCATTCCTCATTAGTGAGCTCAACTTTCCTTTGAGTTTTGCCAGGAGAATCCGTTGTTTGCACTTTATACAGGAGCATGGTCTCTGGTGTTCCCTGAATCTCTGTAGAGTGTCGCTACCACGTGTCTGAATGAGCAAGCTGTACCTTGGGGACCTTGGACTGCAGTGGAACTGGGCTGCATTCGGAGCAAAGCCATGAGATGACCAGCATGCCAACAGGAAGTGGCAGCTGCTCTAATGGACCCCATCACCTCAGGAGGGCAGCATTGGGAGACCTTATTTCTTGCTCTCCTGGAGGCCAGAGCTGGTTGTTTGGTCTGTGACCACTGCCTGTGTGGTCACTCAGAGCCCTGGCTCCTTCCGTGACCTGGCTGCAGCTCCGTGTGTATGTAGCTGCTGGGGAGAGAGAAGACAGGGTCCACCATGGGAGGTATGTGTGACCTGGGCTGGAGGGAGCACATGCCCCTCTCCGCTCATGCTCCCTTGGCTGCAACCTGGTCACATCACGCCCGCTGCGAGGGAGGCTGGGAATTGTGGCCTGGGAAGAACGGGGGAGCAACCGTATGACTGGGTGCTCCTCCTTTCATCCCCAAAGACTGAGGCTAACGTGTTCTGGGAGAAAAAAAAGACAGAAAACAAGACCCGTCATAAGGAAGATGGCTAGCATCTGTTGAGTGCTTGCTCTACAGATACAAATGTTGTGCGTGGATTATCTTGTTTAACCTGCACAATGACAAATGAGCTCTTACCAGCCCCATTTCCTAGACGAGCAAACCAGGCACAGAGGAGTTAACTTCCTCAAGGCCCAGAAGCTGGTAAAAGGTGCCACTGAGGTTCATACTGTGCTTTTCAGCTTTGTTAAGGTTGATTGACAAATTTAAAGATTGTCGACATGTATGGTATACCACTTAGTGTTTTGCTAGGTGCATCAATTGTGCAATGATTAAATCGAGCTAATAAACATTTCCATCCCCACACATACTTTTTTGTTGTAATGAGAATATTTAAGATCCACTCACTTAGCAACTTTCAAGTACACTAGAGTCACCAGGCTGCCCCATAGGTTTTCAGAATGTGACCCTCTAACTGAAACTTTGGAACCATTGACCAATATCTCCTCATTTCCTCTCCTGCAGCCCCCCAGCCCCTGGTAACCACCCTCCCACTCTGTTTCTATGAGGTTGATTTTTTAAGAATCTGCCTATAGGTAAAATTATGAAGTATTTGTCTTTTCTGGTTTTTGGTTTTTTTTTTTTTGAGACGGAGTCTCAAAATTGGCTGGAGTGCAGTTGTACAATCTCGGCTCACTGCAACCTCTGCCTCCTGGGTTCAAGCGATTCTCCTGCCTCCGCCCCTCCAGTAGCTGGGATTACAGGCTCGCGCCACCACACCTGGATAATGTTTGTATTTTTAGTAGAGATGGGGTTTCACTGTGTTGGCCAGGCTGGCTGGTCTTGAACTCCTGACGTCGCAATCCACCCGCCTCAGCCTCCCAAAGTACTAGGATTACAGGCGTGAGCCACTGTGCCTGGCCCATCTTTCTGTGTTTTTTAAATGTAGGTTTTAATTTTTGTGGGTCCATAGTAGGTATATGTATTTTGGAGGTTCATATTTTGACAGACATGCAGTGCATAATAATGGCATCAGGGTATGTCTTTCTGTGTTCTTAACCATTATACTACTGTCTGTATTAGGATAAGTGGAATCTGATCTTTTTAATTAAAAGTAAGTTTTATGTTATATGAACACTTTATAGAAAAATTGAAAACGTACAAATTAAAAATACCCATAACTTACAATTTGGAGACAGCCTCCTATTTTCCCAGAATGTTCTTGTCAGGACTTATGCAGGCGTGATGTATCCTTTCTGCGAAAGGCCCCTCTGCCCAGGGAGTTCTGCAGCCTCTCGGTTGCCTGGCATGTGCCAGAAGCTATGCGGGCTCAGCTGTCGCCACTGTCGGGCAGAGAAATGCATGGCGAGTCCATCCTGGTTCTTGGTTTCTTAAGGGTGGTGAGACAGTAAAATTCTCCTTTCCCTTCTGGCATTTGCACACCAGAGGCTGACTGTGCTGGTCAAAGGTGAGCTGTTATTTGAGAAGGGAAAACAGTGCAAGTCCTAGATAAATAACAGCAGGGTGACTGACCACCAGAGAACCCATGTTTTATTCCTGCCATTCCCGGGGCTCCACGGCTCCTGAAATGCATGATGCAGGGTTAGTGTGGCCTGAGGGCATTGCTCTGGCCGAGGTAGGAGGGAGCAAGAGTGCTTGCCCTCTGTAAACTGAGTGGGTCCATGGATGTCCGTGTCATCAAGGACTCCGGCCATCAGCAGGTACCTGCTAGTATAAATGGACAGAGCTGGCGGGTGGGCCCCAATTGCAGGTTTGTGAGCCATGGCAGTATCACCCAGGTGTGCTGCTCAGGGGCCCTGGCAAGAATTCAATGTGGCCTGAGCATCCCCCAAAACCCCCACCCCTCGCCCAACTCTGCCATTGCTTTCCTTCCTTCCTTCCTTCCTTCCTTCTCCCCTCCCCTCCCTCCCTCCCTCCCTCCCCTCCCTCCTTCCCCTCCCTCCCTCCCTCCCTCCCTCCCTCCCTCCCTCCTTCCTTCCTTCCTTCCTTCCTTCCTTCCTTCCTTCCTTCCTTCCTTCCTTCCTTCCCAGAGTCTCACTGTGTCACCCAGGCTGGAGTCCAGTGGCACGATCTTGGTTCATTGTAACCTCTGCCTCCTGGGTTCAAGCAGTTCTCCTGCCTCAGCCTCCCCAGTAGCTGGGATTACAGGCATGTGCCACCACACCTGGCTAACTTTGTTTTTTTTTTTGTATTTTTGATAGAGATGGGGTTTCACCGTGTTGGCCAGGCTGGTCTCAAACTCCTGACCTCAAGTGACCTGCCCACCTCGGCCTCCCACCGTGTTGGGATGACAAGCGTGAGCCACCACCCCAGCCTGCTTGTGTTTCTTTCCTCTCCCCCAGGCATAACCAGAATGAATGGCAGATTTACTGCCACACTTTAATGGGCTGATCTTTCCCTCCAGCTTCCTCCTGCTGTAACCCACTAAGCCATCACACGAGCCCAGGAGAAAGTCTCCTGGGCCCCCTCTTCCCTCCCTTCCCTGCCTCTCACCTTCTTCTTTCCTTCAAGATGCCCATCTTCTCCCCACCAACCCCTAAAGCACACCAGAGCAGCAGAAGCACCTTTGAGCCAGCCAGTTGTATGTTGAAATGGCTAGTGTTCTGCTCGGCCCATCATCTGGAAAGTGAGCGAATGAGAAGCACAGAAAATATTCCTGAGGTAGTTTTCTTAGCTTCATCGGTGGCTCCCAGGTTTCCCCTGTGTGTGTGTGTGGGGGGGGAGGAGGGGTGCGGAGGGTGGTGCTTGGAGGGGGACGGTCTGGGTCTAGATGCTTTTTCTGCCACTCAGTGATGTGGCCACTCAGTGATGTTAACCTCAGGCAGATTCCTGGGTGACCTGGGCTCCCATCTCTTGATCTGTGTGTGTGGAGGGGGAGAGGGCACATAGGAATAGTCCAAATTCCTAGTTCCTTTTCTGCAATTTCAGAATTCAAAAAGCGCTTCGAAAACATGTGCTTGAAAAAACTGCGATTGGGGCCCACCCGCCAGCTCTGTACATTTTTACTAGCAGGTACCTGACTGATGGCCGGAGTCCTTGTTCACACGGACGTCTACGGGACCTACCCGGCTTACAGAGGACGAGGGCTCTTGCTCCCTCCTACCTCAGCCACAGCAATGCCTTTGAGCCACACTAACCCTGCACCATGTATTTCATGAGCCACAGAGCCCTGGGAATGGCAGGAATAAAATACAAGTTCTCCCGTGGTCAATGACCCTGCTGTTAGTTACCCAGGTCTATGCACTGTTTTCCCTTCTCAAATAACAGCTGTCCTTTGACCAGCACAATAGACCTCTGGTGTGCAAATACCAGAAGGGAAAGAAGAGTTTTACTGTCTCACCACCCATAAGACCACTCTTTTTAGTGAGTTTGGTGCCATAACTCCTTTCTGAACTGATGTGAAGTTACCTAGGGCTTTGTTTGTCCTGCGTCATGGGACTATCATACATTTTGGTTAAGAAACATGGATCTGTTGTTGACGGGCATGGCCTTAGACCTCACTGGAGATGATACGTAATAGAAGGCTATAGTAGCCGAATTACTAAAATCCCCCAGGTCCTGAATTCTGAAGCCTCATTCCGTGTATGTGGTTGGCTGCTGTTGTTAATTTCTGGCTGGATCCCGACCTCCACTGGAGGTTCTTGGCCAGAGGCTGGCTCTCTCTGTGCTAAAGAAGTGTTGAAGAAAGAAGCATTTGCCCCTCATTGAGGCTGTCCTCCCCTCCACTAGCAGCGAAATGAACCGGAAAGGAATTAGCGTTCTCACCTGCTGGCTCTCCTTTGTTTAGTGTCCCCACCTGCACCTGCACCTGCACCTGCACCTGCACCTGCACCTGCACCTGCACCTGCACCTGCACCTGCACCTGCACCTGCACCTGCAAACCTCCTTCCGCATGCTACAGACTCCCACGCACCGTCACTTCTGAGCACCCACCATGTCTGTGGGTGACCTGTTAGATACACGCTCAGGCATTGTCCCGGCAAAGGGCCTGAGCACGGAGCCTCCCTGGCTCAGTGTGCATGCACAGGGCCCACTGGCAGATTCACGGGGGTCAGTCTTGGAATGGACATCAGACTCAAGCATTGTGACTGGGGGCAGAGGGGTCAAGCATCGTGAGTAGGGGTCAGAGTCCCCACCCTACCACCTTGTCCTCTGGCTCTGTCTCGAGCAGTTGCTATGCACAGGGCTCATTGACCGAGAGGTTATTTCCGACCCTACCCTGTTGCCTTGCTCAGTCTCCATATGCAGAAGATTCCCATAGCTGTTTTTTGTTTTGTTTTGTTTTTGTTTTTTTTCTTTTGAGACAGGGTTGTCAGCGGTGACAGTTTGGATAGTGCCGTAAAATGTGACCACAGGGATGGTGTCGTGTACTAGAAAAGTACCACAGTCAGGTGCCTGTTCCTCTTCTAGGCATTGAGGTCTTGAAGGAGGAGCCTCACAACTTGCAGTTTCGAACACAGGAAATCTGTCCTACGACCAAATTTGTGGAAAACGAGGCAGGCACGGCAGGCTGCCTTAGACCTGTCAGGCTTCCCACAACCCCCTGGGGGCGCCGTTGGGCACTGTTAGCAAATGCACTTTCCTGCACCCCACCGTCCACCCACCCCATCAGTATCTTGGGGGCTGAGGGCGTGTGTGTTTTACAAGCTCCGTTAGGGAGTCTTACAGCAAGGTTTGAGAAGCAAAGCCACCGTCGAAGCCTTAATTAACTCAAAGGCTGCAACTAGAAAAGCCTGAGGAACACCCGAGATCTTTAACGACGGCAGCCTGTGCCAGTCTTGAGAAACTTCCCTGTCAACGTCTCCCATCAATAAGCTGTCGTATTTGAAGCAGCGGGAGAGGAGCTTCGGGGCTGTTTAATTTAACACACCAAGCCTGAAATTCAGAGTTTTCCTGTGATTGACTGTAGCTCATCTTGGAAAAATAAGTATGTATCACTTGCTGAAGGTTGTCAGAATGTAATGCTCTTTAAAACCATAACATTTTAAATCTGCCAGCCCCAGCATGCGTCCTGCTCAAGGCTTTCGCTTCTCGTGGAGATTTTTCCCCTTTTGTTCTGTGGCTTTGAGGTGACATCATCATGAGAAGGATTGTAATGGGGTTCTAATATTCATTTTATAAAATGGGTACTGGCTGGGCGCAGTGGCTCATGCCTGTAATCCCAGCACTTTGGGAGGTCAATGCAGGTGGATCACTTGAGGCCAGGAGTTCAAGACCAGCCTGGCCAACATGGCAAAACCCTATCTCTACTAAAAATACAAAAATTAGTCGGGCGTGGTGGCACAAGCCTGTAATCTCAGCTACTTGGGAGGCTGAGGCAGGTGAATCGCTTGACCCCCGGAGGCAGAGGTTGCAGTGAGCCGAGATTGTGCCACTGCACTCCAGCCTGGGCGACAGAGAGAGACTCCATCTCAAAAAAGCAAAAACAAACAAAACAAAAGGGCATGACTTCTTGTCCTCTGGATCTTGGTGAAACCTCAGGGAGATGGAGCAGTGTGTCCACCCACACTCACGTCATGGGCCGGGGTTCCTGGGGTCAGCCCAGGGTGTGTCTGCCACACCACAACTGGCTCGGACAAATCAGGACCAGCTTTTGGAAGTGGAGACAGGGTCCTTCTGCCCAGTCCGTGTTGCAGAGGGGTAGAACTTCAAACATTCACGGTTCTCTTGTTGAAGAGGAGGCGCTGAGTGCCTGGCGAGAGTATCGGTTATACATAGCTGTGTAACTAAGAATCCCAAAAGTCAGCGCCTTACAACTACCACTATTTAATTTGTTTGCAGTTTTCTGAGTCTGCAGTTGGAGCTGGGTTCGCGGGGTGGTGCTTCTGCTGGTTTGGGGAGTGGCCTGGGGCCACTGGTCCAGCGAGGGTCTTCCGGCAGCTGGCCTGGAGCTGGATAGTCCTAGACAGCCTCACTCATGGTGCTGGTCATTGCTCAGTGCCCGTGTTCACATGGCCTCCCTTCCCCCAGGAGGCTAGCCCAGGCTTTGCTTTACCTGGCGGGCTCCAGGGCTCTCACAGAGCCGGGGAATGTTTAGAAGCTATAAGAGCTTTTGAAGCTTTGCATGGAAGGCAGACCGCATCACTTCTGATGTGTCCTGTCAGTCAAAGCAAATTACCCGACCAAGTCAGAGTCATCGGGGCGGGGTGGGGAATAGACCACACCCGCTCAGTGGGGAGAGTGGCAGTGTCATATTGCAAAGAGGCATGCATACAGGGGTAGAGGGTGTGGCCACCTTTGCAAACTGTCTACACTGGTAAGCAAACGACAGAGTCTGTGTCCACATGGATTTCTCATGTCCACAGGCGTGTGTCCAGCAGATTCCCGATGCAGCTGCATAGGAGCTTTTAGTCCAGAAGAAAAGAATCCAGAGCTTCAGGGAGTGACTTATGATTCAAGAGAGATGTTTGCTTTTTCTGATGGTTTTCTTTTCCTTTCTTTCTGCCAGTCATCCAGGGTTTTATTAAGCCAGCAGCCAAGATGTTGCTTACTCATAACCCCCCTCTCTCTTGCTTTATTTAAGTATATGTTTTTTTGTTCACTCTTCTATGCGGAGAGAAAAGAAGAGTGTGTTTTATTACAACCTGTTCCCAGAAACTCTGTAATTCAGGATTTTGTGGTAAAAGGGCCATACATTCTGTAAGAATAATAAGCAGAGCGAGGAAGGAGGGGATTGGGTTTCCACCAAAGTCTCCACGTGAGATAAATCAAAGATATGACCAGCATCATAAAATAATATACCCAGCTATAAGCATCTCAAATAATTTAAATAAGAATGTTGTTCTGCCCTGAAACGAGAATAAACATATTATATTTTTATTATAAAACGACTACCAATTTGCTATAAAGTATAAACATAATCTATAAAAATATAATTCTACTGTACCATAAATATGACTGTGTATATTGCCAGCTATAAAAGGCATTCAACATTTAATTAACAATAATTTGGAGAATATGTTTATGTTCCTTTTAAACAGCAAGAGCGCTGTGTATTGATCTTAGACATAGCTGCCTTCTTGGAATTTACGTGGGCTGTAGGGGAATAACCATGGTAACGAGAGCTAAGCATGTGCTGGGCTTTGCTCAAAATTCTTTGTTTGCAGTAACTCGTTTGCTATCCTCTCAACACCCTAGGAAAGAGGTATGTGACTACCCCTGATTGACAGTTGAGGAGCTGAGGCACAGGGAGGGTAAAAAACTGACCCACTGCCGCTCATGTGAAGGGTAGGGTGTGATTTTAAACCCACGCCTCCTGCATCAAGAACTCTGCTGTTGATTTATGTGCACACATGGAGAGTAATGACTGGTCCCCTCCTCTCCCTGAATACCCTTTAACAGTCAAAATACTTCTAATTTATTTTTCCAATCCTGAAATCCTGAAGGGCTTTGATATGAAAAGCAGGTCAGCAGGAGCACTCTCTCATTGCCGCGCCAAGGGTCTGCAAGCCTTCATCAGTGAGGAGCATAAGCGGAAACGCGGCCGGAAGCTGAGCTGCAGAAAGACCAGAACAACAAAGGGCTGTTACATCCCCCTCCCTCGCTGCTTCATGCGGGGAGCCCCTGGGACTCGGGGCAGGGCTGGGTTTACCAACTCAGTACCCATCACTCCTCCACAGATGGGAAATGTGGGGCCCAGAGAGGCTCACTAGCTTGCCCAAGGCCACACAGCAAAGTTAGGTGGTTCAGAAGAATTTGAACCCAGATCTGGATC